TAAAACCTGAAGGAAAAAAAAAAAAAAATCCACCTTTTGGGGCCTTTTAGTGCGTTTTGTGGCTTTTTTTTTATTACGTCCCTTTTTTAACGAGGGAGCCTGGGCAGCGTGGGTGTTCCTTGTCTGCTGCGATGTTCAGCATCACAAATAAATGGAATTTTGCATGAGCTCCACGTGCCCCTTTAGGATCCTTTGGTAGCAGCAGGAGTCCCGGCTGTACCCGATTTTAATTCACAGTGTTATATCAGTGGTGAAATATTCACAGCACTATGTGCTGCTGAATTACTGGTGACATGGGAGTCTTTGCTTGCGTCTGTTAATTATGATGGAGTAAAGCAGGGGCTGGAAATGCCCGACGGTGCAGGTGTACGTGCCGATCCTGCAGTACCCCTCTGCTGTTCCTAACAATGTAGATCAGCCTCAGCTCTACAGACTCACTGGAACTACTGGCTGCGGTATAACCTACCTCACCGTCTCTTTTTCAGCATGCCTGATGATGCTTAGCAATTTTTATTCAGAGCTAGAAGAAATTAAATTTGTGTATTTGCTGTTCAAAGGCATGTCTTTTTGTTATCTAGGAATCCAACCCAGTGAAGTTCTCCCAGAATCGGCTTTTGAGGTTGTATTTTCTCACCATGGCCTCTTCTGGTATGTAGTATTGTCTACTAAACGCTGTTGTGTCTTTTTTTCCCCCCACTCTCTTCATTTCCTCAGGACTAATTTAAAAATCAAAGATAGTAAAATAAACCGTCATCACCACGCTCTTCTGCCATCTCTAGGCTGCTTTGGAGAAGCTGTGAAGAGCGGGTGCTTGGGAAAACATACCGAAAGCCCCCTCAGACTAGGCTGTTAGCAGATGGGCTTCGGCTCATCTGCACGCCATCTGCTGCGCTAACAGAACTGACTGTCATCTAGACATCGTGGTGATCAAAGCCGGTGTGCTGGTACAGCTGACACCACGCGGGGCTGACGCTGCCTGCTCACGGATGTTTGAAGAGAAAACACTGGTTTTGAAAACCAGTCGCAGTCCGTGGCTGCGTCAGGTGAACACCTTGAAGTTCTTCCTCAGGCTTGTTGGAGAAAGAGTGATTGATTTCTTTATTGAAATACCAATAAACTGTATTTTCATGACCCTGGATATTAAAGGCTAAAATAAAACGTTGTGGTAATGTGGTGTCAAGGAAGAATTGCAAACAAAATTACCTGCTGCGTTTCTGAACGCTGCTGCTTAAAACAAAGCGATGGACTCTCGGCTGCTGTCTCCTTCATGGCATTGAGGTTTTGAAGGCTGTCATTCAAGTTACCTAAGCCAGTTCCTGCCTTAAAATGCTCTTTTGTTGTTTTTTTTTTTTTTCCCCGGTGTTCCTAGGTATTCAAGTGAAGGAACTGGAGAAGCGTGCCTCTGGGCAGGCCTTTGAGCTGATACTCAGTCCCCGCTCAAAAGAAGCAGTCCCGGAATTCCCTCTTTCTCCCCCAAAAAAGAAGGACGTGTCATTGGAAGAGATTCAGAAGAAGCTGGAAGCTGCAGAAGAGAGACGTAAGGTAAATTTGAAACAGTTTAAGTGAGCTCTGCTCAGCTGATCTCTGCAAGTTGTGGTGTTTTGTTGGTTTTTTGGTGGTTTTTTTTTTTTAAATTTACTTGTTGCTTGGGACAAACTATTGGCAGCTTTTATTACGGTAAATGGAATATTAATTAAACTTTGGGACATACTATTAGCAGATTTTATTACAGTAAATGGAATATTAATTAAACTTTGGGACATCTGGGCCTCTTGAAAACCTTTGTTGTGGCTGGCAAGGTCATAGCTTTGTTCCTGAAGTGATCTTAAATGATCACCTAAAAAACTGGGAGAAAATATTTAGTTGAGAGGGGATGCTGTTCAGGATGAAGCTGTTTCTTGTCTTCAACATCACAGAAGTTTCACTAGAGCGAATCTGTAACGGGAAGGTTTGTGAAGACAATGTCTGACCTGGTGCAAGATCTTGATGTTGAGATGTAAGGAGCCCTTGACTGTGCAGAGGCTCACTCATTGAGGTGCAGCCTCCTGTGTGGCCTGAATCACAGCGATCCACCCTTCTGAAAAGCCAGAATCTAGGAAAGATTTGTCGGTATTACCCTAAAAATCCACATTTTTCTTCCAGAAAAATCCAATTTAACAAGAGTTCCAAGTCATAGCAGAAGCTTATCTTTCCTGGTAGCTTGTCATGGTGAAATGTGGGTGGGGGGAGCACCAGGGAACTCTGTCGTACATCACAGCGTCATGTTGTGCTCCAGTAAAATAGCAGAAAATCTTTTCTTTTGGGAGCTGTGAGCAACTCGACTGTCGTTGTCTCCGTAGTTCATCTGTTCTGTGTTCAAAGCGTGCGTCCTCTGTTTCGTTAGTGTCATGAAGCAGAAGTCTTGAAGCAGCTCGCTGAGAAGCGAGAGCATGAAAAAGAGGTGCTTCAGAAAGCGATTGAAGAAAACAACAACTTCAGCAAAATGGCAGAGGAGAAGCTGACCCACAAAATGGAAGCGAACAAAGAAAACCGCGAGGCGCAAATGGCTGCGAAACTGGAACGCTTGAGGGAGAAGGTGGGTGTAGAGTCCCCGTTCCCCTTCGGGAAAG